TAGGGCTTCATGCTTGCTGGCAAGTTCTTTTTTTCTGTTGTCACTGTCTTTATATTTTTCTACACGTTAATGGTTAATTCTCTCAATCATTTTGCCTTTGACGTGAGCTGTATAATTATGTTTAGAAAAATTATTCATCATCAGTTCAGAGCCCAGATAAAACCAGCGAGACGACAGCCTTGAGCATAGACTCTAAGTGCCCCAAATCTCAGGAATCAGGCCTGTGAGACGGCTCATTGGTAAAGGTATTCGCTGCCAAGTCAGATGGCCTGAGTTTGGTCCCCGGGACCCACATGGTGGAGAGAGAGAACCAAATCGTGAAAATGGTCTCTGACCTTCATATTCACATGGACACTGAGAAGCACTCCTGAGTGGGTGCGTGTGCACACCCATACAGAGTTACAGATGTGTATACATACGTTATAAAACGTATATATAAACGTATATAAAAACATCTCAGGAATGGTGGCAAGTGATGCTTTAGTGGACTGTTTCAAACTGAAATCAATGCAAAACCAACCCATGATGAACAGAATATCAAATTTTTACACAGGCAAGACTCAGTCAGCTCGGGCTGCGATTGCCAAGGCTAAACCAATGGATGCATATTTCTGGCAGTGCCGGAGGCTAGACTCCATCTGAAGGGTTTTCCCCTCCCCCACTAATGACCGTTCCCTCCCCCCTGACACATGTCACATGCTTTCACTTACCATGTGTGTGCAATGCCAACTCTGGTCTTTTCTTAAAGATACAGATCCTGTTGGATGAAGGCCCTTGCTGATGATTTCATTTAGCTTTAATTGCTTCTAGAAAATTCTGACTTCAGATCTTGTTGGGTTAGAGGTTAAGACATCACAATATGAATGGGGTAGGGATACAAACATTGAATCCCCAGCAGACAGGATTTAGGATTCAACATAGGCGCGGGGACAGGATATAGGGAATGGGACACCAGACACACAACAGACTAGGCAAGACAAGTGAGACTAAACCACAAGACTAACTGACTTTCTCCATGTTTTTCAATATGTATTCATTCATGTATGAATTCATTCATTTTTTTAAAAAAGATTTTGTGTGCATGAGTGTTTTGCCTGCGTGTATATCTGTGGATCACATTCATGAATCAGTGTCCATGAAAGTCAGAAGAGCAAGGTTGCCTCTACTCCATGGAGCTGGTGTTATAGGAAGGAAAGAGGAAACAGAGTCCAGTGTGTGCCCCAGCTGAGCTCAGACAACTGCAGGTTCTAGGAAGAAAGTGGGAAGCCACAATGTGCTTCTGATGCCCTTGGACCAGGGACCTCCTTGAGGCTTCTGAGCAGGTGTTGATTAGCTAACCACTCCCCCAACCCCACCCTCACCCCCGCCCCACTCACCCACCTTCCTGGAGGAGGTCTAGAGGGGCAGCCTCTGGAAAGTAGAGGTGGCCTGTGCAATGCTCTAAGATGCTAATGAACTTGGCTCACTGTGGGAAGGCTGGAGCCCACAGGGAGAGGGATGGAGCCTGCCAGATCTGGGCTGAGAAGGCTAAGAGGTTTTCATTTTCCTTCAGTTGGGGCTTAAGCAGCAGAGTTATGTAGTCTACTATATATGTATGTATTCAGAAGTATTGAGTATGGCATTGAAAAGAGAACACCACACCCAGCAACACACACACACACACACACACACACACACACAGGGGGGGTGGTGGTGGAATGGGGTGGGGGCAACTGCCCCACTTTTGCTGCTGTCCGTCCTATTTTATGTCCACCAATCAGATTCTCTCAGGATGTTAAAGGTTTAAGTCATTTCTAGATTGGTTTTTTCCCCTCTGAGCAAGTTCAGGAAGAACGCCGGCCGACAGACAGGATTGCCTTGAGGATGGAACACCTGAGACCGTAGGACCGAGGGAGCCCCCACTCCCCGGGCTGTCGTTCCTTTCTCATTTATCCCTGCTCCTAGGTGGGGGACTGAATCTCCAGGCTGGAAGTGAGCCCACAGCGACCTATTTATTCACCTTGCTAGATTGCTATGGGGTAAAGAAATCTACCTGTCATTACTCCTGTCCCCATTAATAAGCTCGTGAAGATACATGATGATAATAATGCTATAAAAATCTTATCAGAGGAGAGAATCTTTTCTCCCCTCCCAGGCTTTGAAGGAAGATTGGGAAAATGCTTTTGGGTTAGCAGGCTGCTGTTTCTAAGAATTATTCTTGCTAGAATGGACCAGGCATATTGACGCTCAGTGATGGGTCTTCTTAATATCCCTGCACCTGGCCACACTGTCAGCATCTTTCCTGAGCTGTAACTACTAAACAACAGACCACGCTTTGAGAGGTCTCTGTGTGGCAATATGACCCGGTCTTTAACGTAACTATTATAAACTGTTTTTGAAGGTTTAAAAACAGCATTCTCCTACGTTGGTAGAAGGTATTGCTGGGGACTGGGGAAACGACTCTGGAAAGGCTCTTGTCACACAGGCTCGAGGACTTGGGTTTGCACTCAAGGGCCACGTAAGAGCTGGGCACAGCAGTGTGCACCTGTATTACACCTGTATGACAAGCTCTGGGGAGGTGGGGACAGGTAGATCCGAAAAAGAAATTCAGGTGGAGAGTGATTGGGGAAGACACTTGATGAGAACCTCCGGCCCCCATGAGCATGAGTACACGTGATCTTCCTAGTCTGTGATGACTCTGGTCCTGAGACTGTAGGTAAATGTGTCTCCCATGCACAGTCAGGTACACCCCGCCATGTGTGACACAAAGCCCATGTCCCATGGGTCTCCTTACAGGTATTTCACAGGCTCTGGAGAGCAGCGGACATCATTCTCACTCTTTATTTCAGAAACCATCCTGGGATGGCATGGGCCCACGTCACATTCCGCAGACCAACTGAAAAATGGGACCCTTGGCTCTTTACCCTCAGCCAGTGCTAACATAACATGGGCAATTCTACCAAACTCTTCGGAAGAGGAGCATGGCTCCCAGCCGGAACCAGAGGTAAGTGTGCCCCCCCCCACCATTGCTTGCGTTCGTACTTGTTCAGAAAGTGACCGAGTGTGTTTGAAACTGGCTCACTGCTCTAAGAGGAGGCAAGTTATCAAATGCAAGAATTTCCCAGAAAGACAAAATCAGCTCCTTGCCTGACTGGAACCGCCCCCCCACCCTTGACCTTGTGTGTGGCAGCTGCTGGGAGCCAATTGCCTTTCTACCAATAAGGAGCCTCCAATTTGGATTGAAATGAACCTCATTTTAACTTCAAATGGGAGAAATTCTAGCAGACCCTCCAAGTGTCTAAACGTGCCTATTGGCATGATGGGAGCAGTTGCAAGACATGCCACTCCCCTGAAGTATGGCTTCTTCATATGGTTCCTGCCCAAGCTCCCGCCTCGCCTCACAAGCTTGACTCCTGCATGCCTCTGACAGGGCAGGGGTGCAATGTCCTCACACGTGTTGTGTGCAGCAAGTTCAGGCTGCACAGGGGCATTGCCCTGCTCTGTCACAGGACAAGAACCCCTGCAGATGTTGGCCACCTGCCGGGTCCCAGCTGATTGCAAAGGACTCTACCGTCTGCCTGCCTGTCACAGCCCTGTTCCCCTAACTCCACCTCCAAGTGGCCGCGGGAAGGGAGCTAACTGTGGTTCCTCTTGCCAATTTTATTTTCTGCCAGGGGTGACAATGATCTATAATTTGATACACACATTCTCAAGATGATATCTTGAGTCAGGCTAAGGCCAGTTTTCACCATTTGTTAGAAATCGTTCTTAATCTCCAACAAATTAATTTTAGCCCGAAAACGGTGGTAACCTCACACTATGCGTGCGTTTGGATAGCTCTGATGAACAACCTAACTGATGTTCCTCTCCGAGCGAGCGTCTCCATCTGATACCCTTTGGCGGTGATTTGGTGGCGTAGCTCTGACAGAGGCAGGAGCCGGCTGCTAACAAATACCTCAGCCACTTCTTCAAGGGGCCTGAGCAGGGCTTGCATCGAGTAGGGAGGTGCACTTTGGCTGGTGGCTCTGCGGGGTGCAGGCTGAGACAGACGTGCAGCAGAGGGAGCTGCCTCTGAAGCTGGTGACTGCTGTCCCCTCAGCAGACTGGGTCAGTTGATGTTTGAGTTTGAGGATAACTACAGAGGTTTTCTTAAGAACCGAAATGAGCTGGCCGTGCTGGTGCGTACCTGTGGACCTGATACTTGGGTGGTGGAGATAGGTCAACTTGGGTGGCTATAAGGCAAGTTCCAGGCCAGCCTGGGCTACATGAGACCTCATCTCAAAGAAACAATGAGTATGTTAATTAACAAGCTAAAAAAAAATACAGGGGTATCAATATGGCTCAGTAGATCAAGTTACCGCCTATGTTACACTAGCAACCTGAGTTCAATCCCTGAAACCTATGTAAGTAATAAATATGCTAGGGAAGTCTGAGTTATCCATTCTTGTGTGAGTCCCCTATAACGTTTCTTCTCTCTTTGCCAGGTAGCTGTGTCCTCTGCCTCTTAAAGGTTGAGGCTGGTCTGTTGTTTTTACTCGAAGTTGTAGACAGCTTTAGCTACTCATCAGCAGCACTGGCAGAAGATATTATTCAATGTTTGTGCTCCTGGGGGCTGGGGAGTTGGTGTCTGCCACCAAACCTAATGAGCGGAGCTGGTCCCAGGACCCACAAGGCGGAGGGAGAGAGCCAACTCTCACAGGTTGTACTCCGACCTCCACATGAAATAAATATTTCTCTTAAAAATTAAAAAAAGGTTGTGTATGTGTGTGTGAGTATACTCCCTTACATGTGTGTGCCTGAGGAGGCCAGAAGAGGGTCTCAGATTCTCTGGAGCCAGAGTTGTGAGCTGTGTGACATGGGTGCTGGGAGCCAAACTCGTGTCCTCTGCGGGAGCAGCAGGCACTTTTGCTAAGCCGTGTCTCCTGCCCCAGCAAAAAGGAAAAAAAGAAAGAAAAAAAAATCACTCACTTCCGAGCTTAGATTTTAAAAAATCTGAAAAAGAAGCCCTTTGGCCATTAGCATGGGAGTGGGCTATTTATTTCTGGCTGTCGGTGCCGCGTCCGTTCTTTGGTGAGAGGAATGTAAGGTGAAGCCCAGCGATTCCTCAAGGTGTCCAGGGGCGGGTGTCGTGACGGTTTTCAGAAGCAGGAGAATTCAGGTCCTCTGGTAAAGATTCTCTCATTGTTCCACAGTGACAGCCCTGGCAGACAATTCTCAAAATTCAAATGGCCACTGCCTAGGTGACAGTTTTCCTCTCAGAACATCATCCTCTCTCTCTCTCTCTCTCTCTCTCTCTCTCTCTCTCTCTCTCTCTCTAATACTTGGAGCAGCTAGCAAAATCCACCCAACAGCTCTCCTGTCAGATAAAACAAAATGTGGCCAATGCCGCCTCCTCTACAATCGGGAGAAACTAACTTCAGGAGGGACAGAGGGGGACTTCTCAAGGCTGGACACTCCTTTGGTTCCCTCTGGTTCCTTACCTGTGTTGACATAGAGAATGTAATTCCCTATTGTAGTCCCTATTCAGAGCTAATTCAAAGGGCCGAGGAGATGGTTCAGTTGGCAAAGTTTTGCCACTCAAGCTGAATTTGGGTCCCCAGCGCTCATGTAAAAGCTGGACATAGCGATGTACGTCTGTCTTTCCAGTGCTGAGGAGGTAGGGACATGAAGATCCCTGGGGCTTGCTGGCCAACCACACTAGTGACTAGCGTTGGTGTGCCCCAGGTCCTGTGAAAGACTGTCTCAAAAAGATAAGGTGGAAAGCAGTCGAGGAGGACACTCAACCCCAGTCTCTGCTGTCCACTTGTGTGTACACGTAGGAATACACACACACACACACACACACACACACACACACACACAGGAGCTCTGTTGAGAACTATAGCTGTTGTGCGTCACCTCAAGGAAGGCATTTTCTCCTGTTTATTGCTTCCGCCATTCATCCTGTCTTCCACAGTCATAGTCAGAATACGGAAGTACATCCCATCTCCTCCACTGGATTCTGGCTTACCATCAAACCACCTGCGTACAGAAAAGACATGCATTTTCTTTTTTACGTTTATTTATTTAGTGTGTGTTTGGGGGACTGGGCTGCGTGCCACATGTGGAAGTCAGAAGACAGTTTGCCGTAGTCAGTTCTCTCCTACCACTGCGGGTCCGGGGATTTGAACTCAGGTCGTCAGGCTTTGTGGCAAGCACCCTCGGAGCCCACACATGCGTTTCCAAATTTAGTTTGCTTAATTCCCAGCAGAACCAAAGCTCAAAGTGCAGCGTGTGTTTAATCCACACTCTGAGAGAGTGCGTTGGGCTCCAGGGTGGAATCCAGTGATGCTGGGGCCGGAACTGAATGTGAGGATGGAGTGTGCCCTCACAGGGTAATGAGTGAGGGTGGAACACATTTACAGCTTTATAAGACTACCGGAAATTCAAATTTAGTTCTCAGAAGATTTTAGTCTGCCTCCTTTGTCTCGGGGCAGCTTGTCAGGTCAGGCCGGCAGATGTGGAGGCTCCTTGGCCTTCCTTCTGTCTGTGGCTTGGCTTTTCCCCAGGTGGGGGTAAGGAGACGTCTGTGCACCCCGGGCAGGGTACAGACAGGTGGAGGAAGTGAGTCCATCCAGGCAACTTAGTGAACTAGGTTTTATCTGGGTTACTAGCAGAGCATGGCTGAGGGGCTCCTTTGTTCTCTAGTCTGTCTGGACGACAGGTGGCTTCTCTAGTCTGTCCTGACAGGTGGCCTTACTGAGTTTTGTCAGAAATGTGAAATCTCTTGTTCATGGCAGGTCTCGCCTCTGGCTGGCACCAGGCTTCAGCTAGCCCTTCCCACAGTATAAGACTATGGGGAGAAATTACAGTTCTTGAGACCCCTTATCTAGGTAATCTGCTCCCACGAGGAAGGGCACCCGTGTCTCTAGACTGCTGTCATCCCTGCCAGGGCAGTTATTTGAATCATTTGTTTTTACTTTTTTAAAATTGAGGTTTTGAAGAAAGAACAGAAAGTTCAAACAAAACCAGGCCTTTGGAGTTTAAATATCCTGACACCATATTTTAAATAACCGTTATTAAGTTCTTTGATACTTCATATCTGAGCAACATGTGATCTCATAGCCTTCTGCCAATTGAATGGCTAATGGTTTATATAAATCTGTGTCTATAAATCCAGACAAATCACGACTCTCACTTTAGCACTCTACACCAGTGAAAAGCACTTTATGAGGCATGAAGACCTTAGGGCTTTTGTCTCTAGCTTTTTGTCTAAGTCCATTTGGCAGCATGGAGACTTTTGTAATGCGTAGAATTATCTGGCTTATAAACAGATCTGAAAATCATAAAAAATGAACCAATTTCCCAGTGACATTTCCATGATGTTGCTTCTGTCGGACACATTACATAGCAGTTAGATACTACCCATGACAGGCGGGCAGGTAGCATTATATATATATTAATATTATAAGAATATTTTAACCTACATATTAGAAACATTAAAAATTGAGCTCAGGGCTGGTGAGGTGATACAAGCACTTGCTGTAAAAATCTGGTGACCTGAGTGTAAGTCTCAGAACCTATGGTAGAGGGTAAAAAGGTGACCCATAGAAGTTTCTGGTGTTAGCATGTGTGCCCACACTAACACATGCCCAAAAGACTGATAAATAATTAAAAATGTCAGTCAGGGTCTGGAGGTATAGCTTGATGGTTAAGGGCAGTTGCTGAAAAACAATGAGGACCCAAGTTCGAATCACAGCATCTTTGTGGCAAGCACACCTTTAACCCCAGTGCCGGGGTGAGCGGAGATCAGGGAGTAAGTGTCTGGAGCTTGCTGGCTGCCAGTCCAGCTGGAAAAAAAACCCCCATAAACTATAGGTTCAGAGATAGACCGTGCCTCAAAGGAATAAGGTAGAGAGCCATGAGGACACTTGACACCTTCCACATACAGGCCCATACACCACACATAGACCTGTCTACCATACACAGACCCATACACCACACATAGACCCATATGCACCACAAACAGGCCCACATACCACACACAAACTCATACACCACACCGAGACCTATACATACCACAAACAGACCCATATACACACCATACACAGGCCCATACACACCACACACAAGCCCGTACACCATATATAGGTCCATAAATAACACATACAGGCCAACACATCACACATAGGCTAATATATCACACACAGATCCATACACCATACACACAGACCTGTATACCATACACAGGCCAACATACCACACACAGACCCGTACATCACACACAAGCTCATACACATCACACACAGGCCTATACACACTACGCAAACAGGCCCATACACCATACACAGATCCATACATACCATACAGAGGCCCTTATATACACAGGATCACACACCATACACAGATTCATATACCACACAACAGGTCCATACACACCACACAGACCACACTCACACAAAAAATAAACAAGTCTTGAATCAATTAAAGCATTCTAAATTTAATTCTGTCTTTTTGTTAACAGTACTTGTTTAACCTTAATAATTTCATTATGTATAAAATTAGACATTAAGACATGACATTTTATAATAAGATGTATATTATCTATCAGCAATGAACTAATGTTGAGTAATGACTTTATTCTCCAGTAGCAGAAGCAGCCTATCTCAACATGGATGCAATGTATGTATATTTCTGGAGCAAAGGTCAGAAGCTACACAAAGCTATCTCTGCACACTGGACCAGGCTTTTTTAAGTTTTAATCTTTTGAATTTATATTTTATCCTTTCCAAGCAGAAAGCATTTCATAAAGTTCTCTGAAAATTTGATGGGAATCATTTTTTTTTAATTGACCCTTTTGCTGCAGAATATCCGTTCTCTCTCTTCCTGGTATGATCCAGTGACATTGACCTTCCCCTAGATACACTCACACCAAAGCTGCCCCAGCTGCTTCACCCTGCTGCTCAGGGCTGGCTTCTTCTGTTATCCCGTCATGAGGAGGAAATGGCACAATAATGGAATGTAGAGATCGTTGACAAACCCATTCGTGATTGTATATGTATAATAACTTTAGTGATAAAATCTTATGTCAGGGCTGGTTATGAGCGCTGACTGCTCTTGCAGAGACCTGCATTCCGTCCCCAGAACCCACTTGGTGACTCACAACCACTGTAACCCCAGTTCCAGGGGATCCGATGCCCTTTCTGGCCTCTGGAGGCAAATGCGCTCACATGCACAAACAAGCACACACATAGACACACACACATAGACACACACACACACACACACAACACACAAGAATTAAATAAAGCTCTAAGTGTTTATAATTAGAAGAATAAAAGTATTCTTGGAAACATAAATATTATAGCAATAATCTAATAAAAGAATTTTTTTTTTTAAAGTAAGGTCTTACTGTATAGCCCTGGACGACATGGCTCTATGTAGACCAGGCTGGTATCAGACTCACAGAGTTCATTCTGCCTCTGCTTCCCAAGTGCTGGTATTAAAGGTGTGCACCACCACACATGGTCAGAGAGTTTTTGTTGTTGTTTGACACAGGGTTTCTCTTTGTAGCCCTGGCTTCCTTGAACTTCACTGTGTAGACCAAGCTGACCTCAAACTCAAAGAGATCCACCTGTCTCAGTCTCCTGAATCCTCGGATTAAAGGGACACACCACCACATCTATCTCATAAAAGGATTTTTTAATGAATGCCATTCTCAAGCATTTTGACTTTATTTCCGTAATTACATATTGAGTTTCTTATATCTCAGAAAACTTATCCTTGGCAACCTCCATATATCACGGAAATGTTACAAAGCAATTATAAAAAGATTCTTTCTATTAGTTTTCCAAATGTATTTAAAAATCACACATCTTGATTAGCATAAAGTATTTTTATGTCTTGTTTTCTATTGCCCTCGAATACCAAGGGGGAAGTGTAAAATTTAATTTCCTTTTAGAATCTGTTTTAGAAGAAAATCCTTACCAAAATTTATGTAGCAAATAAAAAATTTTCTTACTTAATTCACTTTTATCTTATGCCTTAATGAGGACTATTTGATGCAAACGCTGACGGTACTGTGAAGGCTTCACTTGAGATGTTTATTGTCCCCCTAGAATACTTCCTTGAGAAGATCAGATATCCCTTAATGGTGTGTTCAGAACATCTTAATGTTCTGTGAAGCACATTCAGTGTGCTCAATATTTCATTTTTAATAGATTTTATAAAGTTAAGGGTATGGAAGTTTATATGGTAAGAAAGTATAGATCTATCATGTCGATGAAACAATAAGCCTGTTATAGTTATGACAAAGAAAATCTAGGTTCCTCTGCCTTAGTTCATGCTTTGTTGTAAATTGTGTCACTGGGTTTTACAGTGACCCATCTGGGGCTGGCGAAATGGATCAGTGGGCAAACCTGATGACCCGAGTTCAATCCCAGGTCTCCTCCCGTGGTTGAAAGAGAACCAATTCTACCAAGTTGTCACCTGACCTCTGAACAACAACATCGCATGCCTGTGGCCCACACACATACATACAGGATAAATTTGGGGTTGGGTGTGGTGGTGCATGCCTTTAAGCCCAGCTCTTAGGAGGCAGAGGCAGGTGGATCTCTGTGAGTTTGAGGCCAGCCTGGTCTACAAGGTGAGTTCTAGGCCAGCCAGAGAGACTCTGTTTCAATTTTTTAAAAAATGATTTTAGTTTAAATTGATAAAAAAAAATTAAGTGACTTCTCAGGTTCAATAGCTGTCCTTTTAATCCCCGCATTTCATCTAGGCGTGGGTAAGGTAAGAGCCTTCAACAACCCTGTTTCTTTAGCAGAGTGGGGGGTAAGATGACTAAAGCTTAAAATTGTTTTAAAGTGTTTATAGTCTTACATGTGCAGACATACTTGCGAAAATGTTTCAATAGACATGGGAATTATAGCAGTGTTAAGCTAAGCTGAGTCAGAGGCAGGAGGATCACTTTAAAGACCAGTCTGGACTCCAGAGTGAAACCTTATGTTAAAACACACATGCACGCGCACACGCACACGCACACACGCACACGTGCACGCATGCTCATGCTCTCTCTCTCTCTCTCTCTCTCTCTCTCTCTCTGCAATAAGATAGAGTCAGAAGCACAGACTAAAAGGCTGACATACAAAATGACATATAGGAACAATTATAAATGTCGCTCTTAAGCCCCTGAAAGTGCGAGTCGGCATTCTCCCTGGCAGCCTCAGAAACTTGGTATTTTCTGTGCTTATGCAAATTACAATGGAGATCTTTCCAAAAATGTACTCATGAAATGCAGACAGGCAGGCTCCCTGGGAACATTAGGTCCTTGAACTTAACCCCACAATGTCATTACCCCAAAAGTAAACAAGATGGGTATTCGAGCCTCAGACAACTGGAGGTAGTTTTTCTTACAACAGCTGCTACAGCGAATTGACATGGAGAGTCCAAGTGACTCTTCTACTTCAGATGCGGTATACAGATTAGAACATTTTTCTTTTCGTGTGTGTATGTATGGGGGCAAGGTTATGCACAAGCATTAAGGTGTTTCCAGAGGCCAGGGGTCAACTCTTGGAGTTGGGATTACAGGTAGCCTCCATGTGAGTGTTGGGAGCTGAAGTCAGGTCCTTTGGAAGAGCAGCCAGTGCCGAGCCTTCTCTCCAGCCTTACAGTTTAAGGAACACTGTTAGCTAAAGGCCAGCAGGTCTGTCACCTATCTGTCTGTGACACAGCTGGTTTAGTTCTTTCCTGTGAGAAGACAGAAAAGGCCACTTGTTGTAGGAGGGGCTGCTAGGTCATTTTCCTACCGCCCAGCAGCTCAGACCCGAAATAACCACACAGATACTGTATTAATTAAATCACTGTTTGGCCCATTAGCTCTAGTTTCTTATTGGCTAGCTCTTACATATTAATTTAATTCTAGTAATCTATGTACTGCCACATGACTGTGGCTTACCAGGTAAAGTTCCATCTAGCTCCCAGGGCTACATGGCTTCTTCCTGACTCTGTCTCCTTTCTCCCAGAATTCAGTTTAGTTTTCCCCACCTACCTACTTTCTGCCCTACCAACAGACCAAGGCAGTTTCTTTATTCACCAATGGTACTCACAGCATACAGAGGGGAATCCTGCATCAGCCACTGGCGCTCAATCTCCTTGTCATCTTTCACAACAGTCCCTGCACTCTGAACACTGAGGGGCATTAGTTACTCTCTCTCTAGGATTTCAAAATCTGCTCTGCCACCCCCTCCTGCCCCAGCATGCTCTCTTTCAGCATGGGTCAGTTTACAATTAGATGCCCAGTTTATCAATTCAATTCTCTAAGTGGGGGAATATCTGGTGAACTTTATTTTTATGGTTCTGGCTACATGTTCAAAGCCTATATAGTGAACCTTTAAAAATATCCCCGGTAGCCAGCATGGTGATATAGGCCTGACTTAGTTAGGGTTTCTATTGCTGTGAAGAGACACCATGACTCAGCAATGCTTATAAAGGAAACACATTTAATTGGGGTGGCTTACAGTTCAGAGGTTTAGTCCATTGTCATCATGGTGCGACACGGTGGTGTGCAGGCAGACATGGTGCTGGAGGAGTAGTTGAGTGTCCTTCATCTTGACTTGTAGGCAAGAGGAAGTGGTCTGTTTCACTGGGTGTGGCTTGAGCACATGCGAGACCTCAAAGCCCGCCTCCGCAGTGATGCACTTCCTCCAACAAGACCACACCCACTCCAACAAGGCCACACTTAATAGTGCCACCCCCTTTGTGGCCTATTTTCTCTCAAACCACCACAAGGCCCATAATCTCAGTTACTCAGGAGGCAGAGACAAGAGAATCAGGTTAGCCTGGACTATAGAATGAGTTCAAGACCAGCCTGAGAACTTAGTTCAATTATATCTTAAAATAAAGTAACCTAGGTTATAACTTGGTGGTAGAGCATTTGTCAAGCATGGATGAGACCCTGGGTTTGATCCCAGGTTCTGAAAAATGAAATTTTTTTTTCAAATCCACCATGAATAATGTAATAAAAACAATGAAAGACAGTGTTAGATTAGTCTTTGTTGTAGGTTTTTTTTTTATTTTTGTTTTTTGTTTGTTTGAGACAGGGTTTCTCTGTGTAGCCTTGGCTGCCCTGAAACTCACTCTCTAGACCAGGCTGGCCTCAGACTCATGGAGATCCGCCTGCCTCTGCCTCCTGAGTGCTGGGGTTAAAGGCGTGTGCCACCACCACCAAGCTGCGTTACATTAGTTTTGAGGAACGAATATTTGGTTCTCAGAGTCATCACATTTTAGGGGATCAATAAAGACTGCACTATGCAGTCAAGGATGACCCTGAGGATTCTGTTTCCACCTCCCAAGGGTTGGAGAACAAATGTACTGGGTTGAACCCAAGGCCTCATGCGCACTGGGCAAGCACCATGCCAATGGAGCATCCCTAGCCCTTCAAGAACTCATTTGATTGACATCTGGCAGCCTGTGAGACCTCTTACTTACAGGCGTGGCTGTGTTTTCTTCTATGGCTTGGGAGATTCCTGCCGTTTATGCTGCACCCTCAAGGTCTTCTTCCTTTCCGTTTTCACTTCTTCCTCCCCTTCTGTCTGTGGTGGTGATGTTTGCCCTCTTGGCCAGGCATTGCTTTTACAAGAGGATTGGAGTATTGTTGCGGTCCTAAATCACACCTTGGCCAGTGGCACGTGCCTGGGGGACTTCATGGAGTTTGGTGCTGGGCCCAGTTATCTTTGGGGAGTGTTCACCATGTCACCTTTCTGAGCTCCCATCCCCTGTGACAGTGACTTTGTGACGTAAGCATCCATCAGAGTGCTGGGGACACAGTGACCTTGAGTTTTTGTCCATTGTGAGCCGCTGCCTTATGGTAAAGCAGCATCAAGGGGCACAGTTTCTCCTCTCTGACCACAGTTCCCAGAGGCCCTGACGCCGTGAATGAGAGGGGCTTTAAATAACACACTGTTGTGTATGCTGCGCCCCCTTTCTCCACTTCCTCTCTCTCCTCCCCATCATTCCTGTGGCCTTGAAGGGCAGCTGTGAACCAGAGGAGAAACGTTGAAGAGATTGTAGCGATGTGGTAGGCAACATTTACCATTCTGTTTGGCGCCCTTACCCTAGCCCTCTCCACATGACCCCCCAATCCCATAGCTCTCTCTCTCCTTACCCCTGGCTAGCCTAGACCCATCAGATCGTGCCGGCAGAGAGGAGCCCCACGCCAGCAGAGTAGCCCACATTTTTATTTGTCTATGGTGAATAAGTATCCCAGAGTGATTTATATGCCAGCTCTCGTGACGTTCGCTTTTCGAAGATGGAAAGTCAGCACTCAGCAATTTATGATCTTGGGGAAAGAACATTCTGGAAGAAAGGAGCCAAGTATTTTTTGTCTGTTCTGTAGGCTTTGCCTGATTCAATTGATGAATGCCTGCATCTTTTTTTTTTTTTTCTTTTCAGTTTGAATTGAGTTCTGTAGCATTGCAGGAGTTCTCTGGGTGCCAAATCATAATTATGGATTTGGGGGGTTGTGGCATTGAGGTACCTGGAGCAACTAGGCAGGAAGTAGAGGATGTGTGAGTGGAGCAGGGGAGTGAACCTTTTTGAGGGCGAACTGGGGAATATTCTGAGTTCCAGCAGGTGTTGTTCATGCCGTGTGCAAACAGTGCCAGAACAGCCACTTCCTTTTAGTTGTGTCCAGTGGTTTTGTGTGTGTGCTCACGTGTGGGGATTCACGAACAACGTGTGGAACTCAGTTCTCCCCATCCACCACACGGGTCCCTGGGCTTGAACTTGGGCTGTCAGTCTTGGCAGCAGGTGCGTTTTCCTGCTGAGCCATCTCACCCATCCAGCAGGACCACGGCTCTAGAATTTGGACACCCTGCTGTGTTGCTTGCCTATCCTGTCCCCACCTCTTCAGGAGCACATATTGCTCTGCAAGGAGTGTACATCTAGGGCTGAGTTCTGGGTGGGCTCTGTGAGGAGAGTGTCATCAGGGGTCATGAGGTACTCTGTCACTGTGCCTCCTCCCTTCTCTGATGAGCATTCAGTCCAGTCCCTTACCCCGCCCCCTTCTTCAGTTTCTCACCAGGCACAGCTTGCAGCATGCAGCCTTAACTATCCCATGCTGCACACCATCGTCTTGCGTGTCCGCGTGTTGTTGCACATATGTGATTGAGCCTATCTGTGTGGCGGTCAGAAGACAAGCATCTGCAATTCATCTTGCTCTTTGAGACTGCGTCTCTCGGCAGCTTTAAACTCACCTAGTAGACCAGGCTGGGCAGCCGGGGAGCCCCAGGGATCCACCCATCTCTGCCTCTCCAGAACTAGGATTACAAGTGTGTGTCAGAATGCCTGACCTTTTAACATGGGTTTGGGGGCTCAAACTCAGGTTCTCTTGCAAAATGAGCATGTTACCAACTGAGCCTCTCTATCCTGGCTTCTGTGTTTCTTCCTCTTTATTGACTCTCACAGTCCTAACTAATAGCCTTGTTACTGATATGGATAAGATGGCAGAAACCAGTCACTTGAAAGAAAAGGAATTCTAAACATTGGGCAGAAATGGAACTAGTCCCAGTTGGACCCTGAAGGCCATGGAGGGCCTCATCCTCCTGCCCCAAATCCCTGCTATGCTTCTCTTCATCCTCTTGGAAGAACTGCTTTCCTCCCCAAAGATGGAGAGAGGCGCTGTGTTTGGTTTCTATAGTTACTTTAGGGTTAGCCAATCCCAGCTGAGGAGGCAGCTTGGACAGTGAATTGGTTTCCACAGAAGCATGAGAAACTGAGTTTGGTCCCCAGAACCCATGTAAAAAACATGGTTGTCGTGGTGCACTTTACCCCAGAGCTGCAAGCAGGAGTGTGGGGGGACAGATGCATCCCTGGGCCTCACTGATGGGCCAGCCTAGCCTCTTTGGAGAGTTCTAGACCAGTGAGAGACCATGCCTCAATCAGGTGGCTGGCTCTTGAGAAACAACAATGAAGATTAGCCTCTGGCCTCTGCCTATACATGTATGTATTCACACCCCATATATATGTGCACATACACACACAGAGTCGGGAGGGAGAAGATTCCAGCTTTGGCTAGGGAGATGGCTCAGCAGGTGAGAGCATTTGCCACCAAACCTGATGGCCTGAGTCAATCCCACATGGTGAAAGAAGAAAGCCAACTTCCACCGAAAGTCTCAGCCCATACTGTAAAGGTATTACTACCCTGAAAATAGGTTCATGCAGGAATGCCCTTCATTTTGGAAAATGTGGTTTGGATTCCAGATACCCGCTTTCCAGTTGTGTGTGTCCCAGTCTGAAGGGCAGCTTGCAGTTTGACTTTAGAAGTACATGGTGTAATTCAGAGAGAATGACTCTTTTGGGGAAGGTGTGCCGTTCTCTTGTTGGCCAGCTTCACGCGTTGCAGCGTAAGCTGCCATGGAAGTGTGTGAAGGGAGTATTCCACTTACCTCCATCTTTGAAATTCCAGGATGATGGCTTCTTTAGCATTACCTCTTTACTCTCTTCCCATCCTGGAGGGAAGTTGCTCCAGCTGGTTCTGAACAAGCTTTGGCAGAAAGGTTATATAATCTCACGTCCCCACCTCACAGCACGTGTGTAAGTGTGTGTGTATGTGCAGGCATGTATATGTGTGGGGCCATAGATGGGCAGAGGGGGGTCTTACGTGATCATACTTTACCTTGAGGCTGACTGTCTCACCTGAACTCAGAGCTCACTGGTTGGGGTCTGGCCAGCCAGTGTGCTCTGGGGACAGTGTGCTCTAACCCAAGGGCTAGAACTGCGGTGGCTGCGTGACTGCCCATTTATGAAGGTGTTTAGTTTATTTTGCTGCATGCTCTTTATCCACTGGGCCATTCCCCTGGCCCTCACAGCACCTTTTCTTTAAAAATCATTGAGAGCCCGAATTCCTTGAAGGAGTAGTCAGTCCACAGGGCATACAGTACCGTGGAACAGCCTGGAGTGGTGGTCCTTGTGATCCCTAGCTTTGGGAGGTGGAGACAGGAGCATCAGGGGTTCAAGGCCAGCCTGGGCTACCTGATAACAGTAGAAGGGACGGATCCCATTTGATATAGTGTGGACCCTGCAAAGTGCTACAGAGTTTCTGATCATCTTTGTAGGACATATGGAGGGGGGTAGCAAAATAATCCCATGTCTGAAATTGTAGGAATGAAGCATCAGTTACCTCTTTCCTCCAGCAAGCATGTGGGTGTGGAGGAAGGTTCTCTAAGATGCTCTCAGGTGAGGGATGAGGTCGTGGTGTCTTTCTCCCCTCCATCTATGGAGATTAGATTAGCAGGGCACTTTCAGGCCAAACCTGTTTGTGCGTGCCTGCCTAGGAATGTGATTCGCTAAGTGGGCAGAACACTAATTCACTGTCGTGAGATCTCGTGTTTCCAGGGTTCCTCTCAGGGGCTGGCACCCAACAGTAAATCAACCTTAATAAAGCTGCTGTTTGGCCTCCCCGCCTTATCCCTGTTTGTGGACACTAAGTGGGCTGGGGAATTCTTGAGTGTTGTTACACTTGTCTGGGGTCCCTGGCATAAACAGTGCCATCTGCCACTTGTGCAGTGGGGAGAGCTTCATCAAAGGGCTTCTGTCCTGGTTTCAGTGCTCTGAACAAACACACTGACCAAGAGCAACTTGGGGAGGGAAGGGTTGATTTGGTATACTTCCGGGCCACCATCCATCATTGAGGGAAGTCAGGGCAGGGACTCAAGGCAGCAGCCTGAAGTAGAAACCATGGGGGAAAGCTGCTTGCCGACTTTCTCACAAGCTCGGGTACAGTTAGCTTCCTTCTACAGCCCGGCACTGCCTGCCTAGGGGTTGGTGCTGCCCACAGCAGACTGGGCCCTCCTGCACCAACTAAGACAAGATACGCCCTCACAGATGTCCAACCTGATAAGACCTTTGATCAACTGAGATGCTCTCTCGGGCGATGCCAGGGTGTGTTGACAGTTAGTACAGTTTCCTTGACTAACATAGGCCAGCATGATGCCCAGCATACCTGCTTCTGTTGTCATCAGGGGCGTTTGGGTTTCCTTGTCTTGCTGGCTTTTCTAAAGATGTCTGAGACCCCTCCCCCACCAACACACAACAATGCCAGTTAGCAGAACAAGTCTGCACCCCCCCAGGTGTGCACCCCTCCTGGTGTGCAGCCCAGGCTAATTTTCCACAGCATGCCTCAGGTGGGTGCAGCAAAGAAGCCTGGAGTGTGGAGAAATGAACCCTGAGGGGACTTGTACAAACTGTCTGCTTGGTTTCCCCTGTGCCCTTGGCTTGTGGTCCCTCCATGGGTCTTCAGAGCCAGGCTTATCAGCTTAACCTTTCTTCAGCAAAGATTCAGCAATCCTGTCTCCCTTCTCCCCACCTCTTTTTATTTATTATGAGTACAGTGTTCTATCAGCATGTGTGCCTACATGCCAGAAGGGGCACCAGATCTCATTATAGATGGTTGTGAGCCACCATGTGGTTGCTGGGAATTGAACTCAGGACCTCTGGAAGAACCAGCTGTGCTCCTAACCTCTGAGCCATCTATCCAGCCCTCTGTCCACCTTTTTAATACAAGGTCTCAATTAGCCATGTTGACTTCAAATTGTACCTAAAGCTGACCTTGAATTTCTCATCTTCCTGACAGCTGTACACTATCAAGCCTGGTTTATACAGTGCTGGAGATTGAACCCAGGACTTCTTGCATGCTAGGCAAGTACTCTACCACTAAGCTACATTGCAGTTCCTCCCTCTTCATCTGCAAATCTAACTTCCCAGT